ATGATAGAGCTTGGAATAGCCAGGATAATTTTTAATATAACTCAGACTGGATTCGTCTGAAAGAAGAAAGTCATACACACCTAGGATGCCTCGAGGGTGAGTAAAACACAAGCCGATTTTCATTTTTGGGTGAACTAACCCTTTAAAGGGGTCATATGATGTTGCTAAAAAAAACATTATTTTGTGTACTTGGTGTAATGAAATGTGTTTATGCGGTTTAAGGTTCAAAAAACAAATTATTTTGCTCTTAAATATTGACTCTTAACTTTTATAAAGAATATCTCTTTGGATTTGAGACTTTAGTCTTTGCAACTTTACAGATCTTCTTTATGCACCAAGAGCTTGTAACACTCCAAAGAGAAAGGAAAAATTGAAATCGCATCATATGACCCCTTTAAACTGATCAAAATCACATTCTGTTAAAAAGGCAACCAGGGCTACTTATGCAACGTATAATTGCAGGGTAATTTACTGTTCACGAAGCAGAGACAACCGAAGCGGAAGATAATTACTTGTTTAAAATGATAAATACATAAATCATGGGTTATTATTCACGTGAGTCTCCAATAAAGCATATGGAAAAGAGGAGGGCTTTAGAAAATGGAGAGGTGATTAAGTTGTAGAGAGTGAATTGAAACACAATCTGCTCCTCATCTAATGACCCAGTGCACGTCTGATCATTTCAGTCTTTCTGTTGGAGGCTTGTTTAAATCTGAATTTGACAATTTAGTCATCATTGATTGATTGTTACCTGCGATGGAGGCTCACGGTAACTGATTTTATTAGCACTGCCATTCAAAATAAGCTATTTAACAATGTTGTTTTAAAGACCTAATAACACAGAAACACAGTTTTGTTGCATTTCTATTAACTCTGAAAACATTTATATATGCTAGCATACTACAATTTGAGTAACTAAAGGAAAAGGTTAGCCAAAAATGAAAATTTGCTGAAAAATATACTCATCCTCAGGTCATCCAAGAGGTAGATGAGTTTGTTTCTTCATCAGAACAGATTTGCTCACCAATGGATCCTCTGCAGTGAATGGGTGCCGTCAGATTGAGAGTCCAAACAGCTGATGAAAACATCACAATAATCCACAAGTAATCCACACCACTCCAGTCCATCAGTTAATGTATTGTGAAGTGAAAAGCTGTGTGTTTGTAAAAAACAAATCCATCATTAAGATTTTAGTTTTTAACTTCAAACCGCTGATTCTGGCCACAATATGAGTACTCTAATGTTGCTTTCTCCAGTGAAAAAGTCGTCTTGTCTGAATAAGGAGGGATATATGCACAGACCAAGCATTGTTTACAAGCGAAAACATGTTGGTTAAGACAGGTATTCTGGTGAGAAACGAAAGTTTAAAGCTAAAAGGTCTTAATGATGGATTGGATTACTTGTGGATTATTGAGATGTTTTTATCAGCTGTTTGGACTCTCATTCTGACGGCACCCATTCACTGCAGAGGATCATTAGAGACACATTAGAGGGAAGTTTTTATTCAATAAAATGCCTGGACTGTGTAAACTAAAATGCTATTGGCTATTTTAAAAAGGGGGTGTTCAACCCAACTTCCTGTTTCAAAAGGAAATACATCAACACAAGAAAAGAATACTGCAGATAAGGCCAGCACTTGTCTTTGTACAGAGGGTTGAAAAATAGATTAGGACAAACACACATTTTATTTACTCTGAATTTGAAGAAAATCTGAGTTAAGTGTTTATATTCTTTAGTGATGTTATTCCGATGTTATCAGATTCATCACTTCATATAAGATTCAATATTCAATCCACGTAACAATAACACTGTGTGACTAGACTGCAATCAAAACAGTCAGCAGCCACTCTGCTATTGCTGGAGATAATTAATAAACAAATTGGACAAATTAAGTAATGTTACAATAACAATGATTGACATTTTGACAAGTCCTTGAAATGTATTCTCTGACAGATGAAGCCAGAGCATGACAAATGTTTGTTAGTTGGACACTGGACAGTCAGTGGACTGCAGGCTCACTAACAATTAGCGCGCAGCTATTTATTAATGTCAAAGACATTGTGAAGACAGTTGTTTTGTACTGTAAAAATGGCTTTCTTAGTATTTGTGTCTTGTTTTCCAGTATAAAATATTATATTTAGTCAGTCTGAAATCAAAATACATTTACATGAGAAGCTAAATTACCTTGTTTTCCTGAAAATCTGTCAAAATTAGCTGAATTTATACTTACAACAAGAAAACATATCTATCAATGAATTATTCTCTTTTTTTAAGCAAAAACTCACTTAATTGTGATCATATGTTGCATCTAATAAATGTATCTTGATTTAAGAATGCTTAGATAGTTGTACTAGAAAACAAGACAAAAATTAAGCGTTAGCGTTAGTTCTGGCAGGTCACGTGAGTCAAGCTTGCATCAGCTGATTCTCAGCTGATCACATCTACCTATAGGAATACGACACCTATCGCGGCATTCCTATATAAGCTCTATTCAGTATTATTCAGCAGCTTTTCAGCTTGCTCAGGAGCAAATTACCCTCCTCCATCCCCAGCTCCTCCTTTCGCACAGTCAGGACTTGGCTTTCTGATATTCCTTGCTAATCAGACTCCTTTATCTTGAATAAAGTGTTACACTTAAATATCATTAAGCACATTAATGGAACAGACCTTGTTCTGTTCTGTTAACCCAGGGGGGGTTATCATTCATGACAGGCTGCATGGATGGGCAGGGAGTTTTTTGCCCAGAACAGAACCATACCGCCAAACCAAACGTTATGCTAAGTATCTAGCATTTTGACGATAGTGGTCCTGACAGAACTACTTTTTTAAAAAAAAGTCCTACTACTTGTTTCACTTCTGTTTCAGTTTTTATAACCATTTCTTACTATGTGTAAGTAAGTTGTTGTTTTTTAGCATGTAAGTTTGGCAGTGTTATTTTTTAGGATTACTGATAAACTACTGTCGTTTGATTTGTATTATTTGTAAGCTTTATTTTTTGTTTTTCATTTAAATGTTAAGTTTTGACATTTTGTTGTATGTATTTGTCATTTTTATTTAATCTCTTTATTTTTAAAATGTGTATAGGTAGTATTTATAAAGTTTTAGCTTTTAGTTTTGGATCTGTTTTTAGTTGTTTTAATACTACAATTGATTGCTTCTGTTGTCCTCATTTGTAAGTCGCTTTGGATAAAAGCGTCTGCTAAATGACTAAATAATTAAATAAATAAAAGAAAAAGAAAATCATTATTTATTTATTTATTTTTCTATCAGTGTATTACTTGCCATTTCATTATACAATTTATAGAGTTTCCTGAATATCAGTTTACATCTGGTTAGTCAAACCTAAAAATAAATAAATACAAATAAATTATTAAAATATATTAATAAGAGATTGTATGAATTGTTTGATGTTTTGTGGCATTAACCGGTTGGCTCATTCTAAAACATTCAGATTACATTAATCAGGTATTATCAGCATTTCAAGTGCAAAACGACCATGCAGATATGATTATGCTAGACACATGATGATAATGTGCCTCTAAACAGCTCAGGTCATTTGTTTATGGTATAAAATGTTCTAAATGTCAAAATTAACTATTTTTCCACAACATTTTAATTCCTGTAATCCATCTTGTCTGTTATAGTGTACGCAGCATTTTATCTATAGCCAAAAGGAACTAGATGTGCTCTCAGCTGATTTTGACAAATATAGTTTAAGACATAAAGTTGGCTCTGCAGGAATCCAGCATTAAACAATGCACTCAAAAAGCTATTAAAACTTTAAACATTAGTGGGCGGAATGATAAAATGACAGTGGGAGTTTTTAACAGTTTACCCATAATGCTCAGTGCCACTATTATATTTTACTCTAATTACAAGTACTGATTGAGATGATGAATGAGGGAATTTGGTGTATTTAAGTGTCTGCAGTTAAATAGACTGCATCTTCATACCCGTTGCATTCATATTTTACAGTTATATTTTTAAATGTACAAGCTTTATTGTTTATAAAGATGCAGAGTGTTTGTTAGGGATATTAAACCACTGCCAAAAGATTTATCTTTGTCTGATTACTCTTGCAGCAATGAGTGTATTAATATAATGGCAGATGTGTGCTATTGATCATGCCCTTGACCAGACCAGATCTCCTTGTTTGTTAATTAATGAAGCTGCATCGATGAATCATGGTTGTAAATCACTATTTACTTTGGATTCTGCTTTAGGGGAGGGATGCAGAAGTATGAATGACGCTGATGGATTGGACAGGAACTGGGAAAGCTTTTCATGTACTTTAAAGTATTGTCCTTCTCAAGAGATTTTCAACTTTGATTCAGTTTTGAGTTCATTTCATCTACAAGGTGAAATGGACGATCAATAAGCAGAGGTACTGAAGGCACTTTCTATGAATAGTGTACAAATTATTAAGGACTAAACACTTTTCAAACATTAAGTGTGTTTTTTTTCTACAACAGATGATGAGGAAAGCATGTTTAACCTTCTTTAAATGTTTTTTTTTTAACTTTCTTTTTACAGTATGAGCACGGTATGAAGTTGGCAATTTTTGCAAATTTCTGCTGAAATAATGTTTTTGTTTTTTGGACCAGATGTTGGTTTTTGATCATTTTAATAAACATACTAGTTCAATTATTATTATTAATATTTTTTTAGGTAACAGGTTTGAATAGTTGAGCTTGTCAAATGCAATTTTTTGTAAAAATTGAAATGAGATTAGCATGCAATAAAGGGTCCAAATAATACAGTTTAAATACTGATTTGTGATCAATAAATATTAAATAAATTAAATTCAGATAATAAAATATACAACAGGGCTGCAAGTAACAGGGTTGCAAATTTTGCTGAAAAAAAGATGTCACATGGTAGCTTTTTTTTTTGGACCAAATGTTGGTTTTTGATATTTTTTAATAAACCAATTTGTTTAATTATTATTATTTTTTTTTTATGTGACAGAGTTGAACAACACGATTTATGTAAAAATTGAGCAAATGAAATGAGATTAGCATGCTATATAGAAAGGGTCCAAATAAGGTCACTTTTAGGGTGTCACAATTTTAAGGAATGCTAGATTGTTTGTAATGGGACAAATCATGTGATAACAGTGATGTGCACAAAACATGGGGCAAATCTAAGAATTCAAAGTTAGTTCAACTTTAAAATAATAATTTTCTACTACAATATGATTTTAATGGAAGTCCTAAGAGGCCATGCATTATTATTATTTTTCTTGTTTTCTCGTGATCACGACTTAATTAACTTGTGATCTCAACATAACAAATATTGTTTTCTTTACAATGATTGGTTGATTTTTAAAACGCAATGCAACGTACTGTTTCTATAGTAACGAATGCAACTTTGACGTGCATCTGATCAGCAGCTGCTGTGGATATTTCAGAAAATTTTGCTTCGCTTAGTAATAAAGTCTACAATAAAAAATAAATAAATGTAGGCTAATTTATCACTGTTGATTTTTTTTCCAGAGACAGCACACTAAACATTTTCTTTGTGTAATTAACATGTTTAAATGGTCAAAGCAACACCGCAAACACAGGGGGAGCGCCTTCAAAAGGATGCAGAGAACTATTGTAAAATCTTTTAGAGCTGCTTGGATTCAACTCACTTTATTTTCCTCATTCGTTTAAAATAAAATTATATATAATTTGTTTGTGATTTTTATTAGTCATGTAGGATATGCTGTGACTGATGTGCGTTACAAGTTTGGGATGCTGTTTGAGAAGAGTGTGTGTGTGTGTGTGTGTGTGTGTGTGTGTGTGTGCTTTCCTACAAAGAAATGTAGAAAATACAAAAGATTACAACACTGTATAACACCACTGACTTAAATTATATACATTTTTACATATATAAATCACATCTCTTATCAATATACATTTAATGATTAACAATAAAAGCAAAAATTTTTTAACAAAGACGCACATTACAAATATGTAATTGAAGCGCGTCCTAGATAAACACAACATCCCCGCTTATTAACTAACAATCATGTACTTCAAAGATGCACAAATAAAGATATAGGTGCAAACAGAAAATATACAGTGACGTCAACATTGGTTTTGTCATAGATATGTATAGGTAGATTCGGAATTCGACCGCTCCAAGCACGTAGACGTGTCCGCCATCTTGCAACGGTCAACTTGACGTCAATCACCATAATAATCAATGAGTATTCAAAGATGTCACAATTCTGCGCAGCCTATGGTTGTAAAAACCGCCAGGATTTAAATTCCCGGCGGGTAAAGTTGAAAGTTAAAAATCAGAAAACAGCTTGTTGGGTTCTCCGTTTTCGAGGTGCTATGTATTGTTTGCAGGTCTTCTGGTCTATCTGGTCTTCACATAAAAGAATGCCAGATTTGTGCTTAAAAAGTGCACTACTCACTGACGAATAATGCACTGCCTGCGTTTCTTTAGATACTCTCGCCATACAGGTTAGTCTTATGTGTTAAAGGGGTGTAGCGAATCAGCTCATGGGGAAATATGAATAATTAACCATAACTAGTTATAATTAACTATTCATATTTTAGATCCGCTGTAGATATTTAGCTGACCTCTCAGGGTCAACTGTCTTGTCAATTCCAAGAACGTTCATTTCCTGGTTAAGGGAAATAACTTTCTTACTGTACAATTCTACAAGCTTGTAACGTAAATCTGCATGATTAGTGACTCCGGTTATGAGCAAACAATGAACACGTCAAGTGTGATATAAGTAAGGTTTTATTAACTACATAAACACTTAAACTAGTCTAACATACTACATAAACACATTAAGCTGGTCTAACATACACATACACACACACACACACACACACACACACACACATACAGTTGGTATAGGAAAGGGTTAAAGTTTAACTCAGCATAGAAAGAGGCATAAAGAATGAATTTTATGGAACACTTTGCATGTATATTCAACAGATCCAAGCCTTCAGGGATACGTCAGATTCTGAGTTCAAACACACCTTTGTAAAAAGGTGTAACTGATACTTAATGTATCAATTAATAAGACTAAGTTTGATACTTAGCGAGTCGCGGCGGTCTGAAAGAGATTCCTGATGCAAATCTTAAAGCTTCCCGTAGATCTTTGCTGAAGTCGGGTCGATGAAAAGAACCAGTTTGAGTCAGAGTCACTTGATGAATGGAAAGGACTAGGCCGAAGAAAAGGCCTGGCACAGATGCTTTGGTATCCTGAAGCGTTTCTCACATCTTCATCTTTGCTTCTGACCGAACCACCGACTGGGCGGGTCACATGGAGTGTGGCCTTTTAAAGCCTGCAGAGATTCACGCCTCTCAAGATGGGCTTGCCCAATGGGGAAGTCCGGAATCTCAAGTGGGAGTTCTGCGTTTTTATGGCCCTTTGTCTCTAAGCATGGTATTTTGCATATGTAATTCACTTGAGTGTTGATGCAGAAATTAGTAATGATTCTTAGAACATCAATATGTTGCAGAGGTATCAGCATGTAATATGCACTCTCAGTTAGATCATCCGAAGACGAATTCATAGATACTAGACATGGTAGAGTTACTTATATGAATGAGTGGTTTATCGTAAGCATGAATAAAAATAGTCTATAATACAACAGATTAAATACAACACAGCAATAATATACACAATGGCCTGAAGAAAATGGGTGTTCATTCAAAGAAGGTTTTCCTATGAATTAATTAGTAGAAAAGTCAGTTTCTCCTGTGCATTTGTGCCTTTCTTATGAGGAAAATGAGGGAGTTTATCCCCTGCATTCCTTTTAGGCCATAAAACCAGTGATATCAGCATTGGTTACCATGGAACCAGAGGCCTGTTCTGCCTTTCTGAGGTGTTAGGTGCATTTCGGGGGAAGGGTCCATAGACCCTCGTAATTGGCCATTTGGTTAGGTGATGGGGAGTTCGATATTATTTGTTAAATATAACAAAAAGTTGTGTGTCTGATTGGTCCAAATGCTACAAGTACTTTCATTCTAAATGTTGAATTGGATACATAAATGTAAGGCAATGAACCGCTGTATTACAACTTACTGCTATAGGGCGTCCTTATATGCAATAACAGTGTTTTTCTGCTTTAATGGGTTTTGTTACTTTCCAGTGTGTAATTTTTCTGATTGTATGATCAAACCATATGATCATTTAGCACTATTGTAAAATCTTTTAGAGCTGCTTGGATTCAACTCACTTTATTTTCCTCATTCGTTTAAAATAAAATTATATATAATTTGTTTGTGATTTTTATTAGTCATGTAGGATATGCTGTGACTGATGTGCGTTACAAGTTTGGGATGCTGTTTGAGAAGAGTGTGTGTGTGTGTGTGTGTGTGTGTGTGCTTTCCTACAAAGAAATGTAGAAAATACAAAAGATTACAACACTGTATAACACCACTGACTTAAATTATATACATTTTTACATATATAAATCACATCTCTTATCAATATACATTTAATGATTAACAATAAAAGCAAAAATTTTTTAACAAAGACGCACATTACAAATATGTAATTGAAGCGCGTCCTAGATAAACACAACATCCCCGCTTATTAACTAACAATCATGTACTTCAAAGATGCACAAATAAAGATATAGGTGCAAACAGAAAATATACAGTGACGTCAACATTGGTTTTGTCATAGATATGTATAGGTAGATTCGGAATTCGACCGCTCCAAGCACGTAGACGTGTCCGCCATCTTGCAACGGTCAACTTGACGTCAATCACCATAATAATCAATGAGTATTCAAAGATGTCACAATTCTGCGCAGCCTATGGTTGTAAAAACCGCCAGGATTTAAATTCCCGGCGGGTAAAGTTGAAAGTTAAAAATCAGAAAACAGCTTGTTGGGTTCTCCGTTTTCGAGGTGCTATGTATTGTTTGCAGGTCTTCTGGTCTATCTGGTCTTCACATAAAAGAATGCCAGATTTGTGCTTAAAAAGTGCACTACTCACTGACGAATAATGCACTGCCTGCGTTTCTTTAGATACTCTCGCCATACAGGTTAGTCTTATGTGTTAAAGGGGTGTAGCGAATCAGCTCATGGGGAAATATGAATAATTAACCATAACTAGTTATAATTAACTATTCATATTTTAGATCCGCTGTAGATATTTAGCTGACCTCTCAGGGTCAACTGTCTTGTCAATTCCAAGAACGTTCATTTCCTGGTTAAGGGAAATAACTTTCTTACTGTACAATTCTACAAGCTTGTAACGTAAATCTGCATGATGAACTGCCTTTTTTATTATTTTGTACTGTTCTCTAAGGTCCACTTATAATGTCATCAAGATTTTTACATAAAAAACATCATCATTTAGAAGTAATAGGCTATTTTCTGTCCTGTTTTGACCCCCCCATCGGAGCGCTCTGTTTGAATAGGCGTGGAGGATTGTAGACTCAGAAGTAAACGCCCACTGATATGATTGGCTAACAGCTGTGTATGTTTGACAGCCTACATCCTTCAAAGATGGACGCTACTGTGATTTAGATTAAAAACGCATAAATACTCAGTACATATCAAACGATCTGTTTAACAGACAAAGCAATAGTGACCACTTAATAAAAACAGTTACTCACACTTGTGTTTTGCGACATTACTGTCGGATCCAATATAGTCACACAGAATCGTCTTTTAATTTCAGTCTTTCAGAAAAGCCTGCGTTCAATTGTGCCTTGTTTGTAAACAAATCCACTGTGAAATGAAGTGAACAAAGGACCAAGTTCCTACTGACGCGGTCTGGATCTTGTGTCTTTCCACAACTTAGCACTGCAGTTTGATTTCTGCGTAGAGTTGCGTTTGCCTCTCTTGTTATTTACACTATGTGCGTGAATCAGTGGGCGGGGCTAAACAGGCAGTGATGTAAAAGCAGGCGTTGATCTTGCTCTGCGGAGGCGGGGTTTAGCCACACTTATACATCATAAAGTGGCACATTCCACAAGCTGTCGTTTTGGCAGATTAGCTACAATATAAGCTGTTTTTAGACTAACAAGAAAGTTTTGAGT